TCTCTTCTGTTTCTTCTTCCTTCCCGTCCCTCTGCTTCTCTCCCCTCTCCAGGAAAGTATTTATATTTCAAAACATGGCTGCCAGGGGATAAGGAATGCCTTGACTTATGAGTCCCCAGAAAGGGTTTTCATGAAAAGGAGGGGAAAAAAGACAAAAAGCTTTGGGGCCCATCGAGTGAAAAGTTTGTGTCTAGATAAATGCATTTTGTTTAAAATCATACCGCCTACCAGGGGGGTGGGGAAGAGAAAAAGGTCAATTCAGAAGCCTGAAACCCGGGTGGATGAAAATTGGGAAACATTGTTGTGATGTTAGAATGTTAGGAATCTTTAAATAGGGACAGAGAATAAGACAGAGAATATTTTATCGCCTCTATATAAAACCATGGTACGCCCACATCTTGAATACTCCATACAGATGTGGTCGTCTCATCTCAAAGAAGATATATTGGCATTGCAAAAGGTTCAGAAGATGGCAGCCAAAATGATTAGGGGTTTGGAACCGGTCCCATAGGAAGAAAGATTAAAAAGACTGGAACTTTTCAGCTTAGAAAAGAGGAGACTAAGGGGGGATATGGATAGAGGTCTATAAAATCATGAGTGGTGTGGAAAAAGTGAATAAGGTAAAGTTATTTACTTATTCCCATAATATAAGAACTAGGAGTCATCAAATGAAATTAATAGGCAGCAGGTTCAAAACAAATAAAAGGAAGGTTTTATTCGCTCAGCGCATAGTCAACCTGAGGAACTCCTTGCCAGAGGATGTTGTGAAGATTAGGACTTTAAAAGGTTCAAAAGGGGAGCTAGATAAATTGCAGTGAAAAGCTCTGGCTTCTGAGCCAAGAAGTTTTTGTGGAACAGTCAAGCCCCAAGGATGCTGCCTTTCCGATATTACTTATGAATAAATGTTGGCAGGGTACAGCTGGGAAAGCATGGCAAACCTGGTGTGTTGTACAAGGGAAACTGAGGTAAATCAACTTCTGAATTTCATAAAGACACGATGGGGTAATTCTGCCTTTCCATGAGAAGAAAGCCATTGCAACTTCACTTGCCTATAGGGCAAAACCAGGAAGGCCATTGTTCTGTTTTTCCTGCAACCAGCAAGGAGATGTTTTTTAAAAAGGATCATTTCTCTACCCCCTTCAGGCTTTTAAAGAGCTTTAGCAAAAGTGGCACTAGCTAACGAATGCTAAGGATACCATGGCTTGGAGTAGGCTATGGCCTGGTGAGGAAAACAAGGAGCCACAAAAGTCAAGGCCTGTGGACTCACAAAGGAAATGAAGCCCTCCCCTTCTCCTCCTCCCCCGGACCGGGATGGAATGTTCGTTGCTGCTAATAATAATTGTGTCTGTTGGAAACCCTACCCAGATCTAACAATTAGAGGTTGCAAAAGTAAGAAACAACCCTCAATAGCAAGACAAATGAGGATCTACACCTAGAAAATTGAATTGTTAATCCCCCCATGGGAATTTGGCAGTGTCAATGTGTGTTGTATAAATTGGGAGACGGAGTCTTGACTTGGTGGCGATTACCGAATTTATGAGGCCTTTTTGCATGGGATTCCCTGAGATTCCCTAGACTATGCGATGATCAATGAGACTGAGAAACACAGTCATCCACAGATGGGATTGGTCACAAATGGCCAAACAAATATAACCCTCTGGTCTCTAAGGGCGTGTCTAATCTGCATGGAAGAATGATGCTTCTGCGGTCAATCTTCCAGGGTTTGGTTTAGCGGGTGCAGAATAGACCGCCTAGATCTAACGCCTTTTGTCGACAGAGTTCTGTTGACAGAAGGCGTTATTGCATCTACACTGTCTTTTGTGTGTACACTCTCATGTTGACAAAGCAGCTTGCTTTGTCGACAGAACTGGATGTAGTCTAGACGCTCTTTGTCGACAGAAGCTTTGTCGACAGTATCAGTCGACAAAACTTCTGTTGACAATAGCCTGTAGTCTAGACATACCCCGAATGCATGACAATGTACCTGCTTTGCAGAATGTATGACAATGTACATGCTTTGCAGAATGTAACTCGACTGGTAGGGTGGATAAATTCTGATTTAAACTGGTTGCAGCCAAAAGCTGAAAATACTCCCTGATGGGCAAATGTGCGGAAGCCACTGGGGAAGCTATTACAACCAGTGCTCTTCAATGAGTCCTTCCAGTACATTACCGGGGTGGAATATCCAGACAACAGTGGGTGTAGTACATACGCTGCACCTGCAATACACGCACAATAGGGTTGAAGCAACAATACAACTGGTTGGTGAGCGGACACACATGCGATCCATGTTGCCAAATGGCTCTGCAGGCAGCACAACACAGAGGGTTGAGGAAGGGCATGTGCAATGCCATCATGCAAAACCGAACCTGGAACGAACCAAACCTGAAATTGAGTGCATGAGCTTCAATAGCTTGAGCTAAAAGCTAGCTGGCTCTCAGCTAAGGCTGTTGCGCAAACTCATAATTCTTTCTGGGTACGTCTACACAGCAGCATTATTTCAGAATAACAAATAGTGCATTATTTTGAAAGAACGTTGAGCTGGAGGACTTCTCACTCCATCCTCTGTAACCCCCATTTCACGAGGAGTAAGGGAAGTCCAAGGAAGAGTTCTTCCTTCAACTTCTTGCTGTGTAGACAGCACTGAAAACCCAGTGAAGCTATTTCAACTTCAGGTCCACAACTGATGTAGCTGGAGTCACATAGCTTAATTCAACTTTTGCCCTGAGGTGTAGATGTGCCCTCTGTAAGTGGTCTCAGGGCCACTACATGGGCAGTGACCCACACTGAGCAGGTGTGTGGGTTGCACATTGAACCTGGGAAACAGTTGGGGAACCAAGCAAGCGATCAGCCAAAGGGGGAAATTGCAGCATCAGATCAATGAACTACTGGCTCAGCATCTCTCTGCCTTCACACTGGGGTGGAACTGAGGAAGAGAGGTCCATCTATGGTAAACACAATGGGCAGGAGGGCTTGTGACATGGGTGGGGGTTGGCATCACAATGCTAACAAAGGGGAGGAGTGGGATTCTTTGCCAGAGGATATATTGAGGGGCAAGAGCAGTGGCTCTCAGCCAGGATGGGCAGGGATGGTGTCCCTACCCTCTGTTTAGCAGAAGGTGAGTGTGAGCGACAGAGCATAAATCACCTAACCATTGCCCTCTTCTGGGCAATTCCTCTGAGGCACCTGACATTGGCCACTGTTGGGACAGAGCCTACTGGGGCTCAACGATTCATTTGTCTTACCCAATATGGCCATCCTAATGTTTTCAGCTAGAACCCAGATGTATCTGCATCCTATTGTGACCCATCACACCTCATGCCTACCCCATGAGTAACGACTGGGTCTCTCTCGCTGCATTCAGAGTTAGTAACAAAGTAATACAGGGGATCCCAGTTATAAGTCTCGATATTCATCATTTTGCGTCTAAGTTCTCAATTAATTAAAGAAACGAAATTCATAATACATCACACAGATCCGCACTTGTGTCATTTTTCAAGGGACCAAAAGCCAGCAACGTAGACCAGGTGAGTTTTGTGGTGGCCGGGCAGCAGGCACTGTAGTGTGCCATGACGTTACTCCTTTGCGTTCTCCTTGCTGTCTGTAAGTTTTGAAGTGAATGCATTGCGAGTGCACATACTTTATCATAATATATTTCTGACCAAGCAGGAGGTGCATACTTATCTTATCTATTTCTACTTATTGTTTTATGGGTTATAGGTACATTATGGCTGTGTCTACACTGGCATAAATTTCCGGAAATGCTTAAAACAGAATAGTTTTCGTTATAAGTATTTCCGGAAAAGGAGCGTCTACATTGGCAGGCTGCTTTTCCAGAAAAGTCCTTTTTCTGGAAAAGTGTCCGTGGCCAGTGTAGACGCGCTTTTCCGGAAAAGACTACTGGGCTGTCTACACTGGCCCTTTTCCGGAACAGTGTTCCGGAATAAGGACTTATGCCCGAGCGGGAGCATAATAGTTTTTCCAGAATAGCGGCTGATTTTGTACAGTAGAGCATCGTTGCTTTTCCAGAAATTCAAGGGCAAGTGTAGACAGCTTGCAGCTTATTCCGGAAAAGCGGCTGATTTTCCAGAATAAGTGGCCCAGTGTAGACACAGACTATAGGTATATACACGTGTGTGAACTGCATGTGTTGGGAACGTATCTCAGGCTAATTACAATATTTCTTATGGGCAGGGCTTGACAAATCATGTAATCTACTCACCCAGGGTGAGTAAATTACAAGCCAGCATAGCCGGCACCGCGCGATCTGCACATGCACAGCTTGCAGAACCGCGTGGCTGGTGAGCGGGACTCACCGCTGCTTGGCGAGCCCTGCTTATGGGTATTAATTCCCCTTTAAAAGTTGTTTTGCTATTAGTTGCATTATTTAAGAACGTAACCTGGAGTTATAACAGGGACCACCTGTATTAAAATTCTAAACCCAACCATGTCCCTTAAGTGACATGTTACCAGATGATAGCACTAGAGTTGAGTGGATCTAATATTTATTTGTTTCGTTCTCTTCTATATAAATTAGGTACAGTGCTCCTGTCAGCTAACTGCAATGTTATCTGCCACAAAACTAGGACTTTCAAGTGCCTGAGTAGACACTGGAAACAGGTTTAAACTCCACAAAAATAATCTTAAATGACTTCCTTGACAGTGTGGACTATGGAGGGAATATGGAGAGCGACAGGGGAAAGGAAGAGTAGAACAAGATAAAGAAGGCAAGAGGAAGAAGAGCGGGGATGAGCTGTATGGAAGACACGTGGAAAAGTATGAGGCCCTCGGCATCTAGTTACAGCAATGAGTTGTACATTGTGGCAACAAAATGAGTTGTACATAGATTGATTTCCCAGTTGGTCATATTGAGGTCAGGAAAAGGGTCCAATGTCTGTGTGACTGTCCAGTCAATGAGTCAGGAAAGAGGGCCCAGCATCAAGTCACCAATGAACTCTGCATGGAGTTTGGTCTGAGAGTGAACGCACCAAGAGAAAATGTCAAGTCTTTTTATGAGTAAAGACCCAGAGCAACCTGTCCCGGATTTGCTTGGTCCTCACCCCATAGATAATGGGATGTACCATGGGAGGCACCACAAGGTGCACATTAGCAATGAGAATGAGGACATGCAGGGACACATTGTGATCGAACCGGTGCATGACGGTGGAGAAGACGTCTGGAATATAAAAGACTAAGATGGCACAGAGTTGGGTGCTGCAGGTCCTAAAGGTCTTGAGACGGGTGTCCTTTGTGTGAAGGCTGAAGATGGCCCTGAGTATCTGGGTGTAGGACACTACAATAAACAACATATCTAGACCAGTCACCAAGATTGTCACAGAGAGACCATAGTAATTACTGACACGGATGTCAGCACAGGCCAGTGTCACCACGGCGATGTGCTTGCAATACGAGTGGGCAATGATGTTGGTTCTACAATATGGCCACTGCCTTGCCAGGAGGGGATATGGCAGTACAAGCATGCTGCCACGCAGCACCACAGCCAGGCCGATCATGACCACCATGCGGTTTGTCAGGATGCTGGAATATCTCAGGGGATTGCAAATGGCCATGTAGCGATCAAAAACCATAGCTACAAATATCCCAGACTCCACCACCGTGAAGCAGTGAACAAGGAACATCTGAGTGAGGCAGGCACTGAAATCTATCTCCCTGGCATTGAACCAGAAGATGCCCAGAGTTTTGGGCAGGATGGACGTAGACAGAACCAGGTCAGCAACAGCCAGCATGCAGACAAAATAGTACATGGGCCTATGTAGGCTCCGCTCCTTCTTCACTATGAACAGGATGGTGATGTTCCCCAATATAGATATGATATAGATGGTGCAGAAGGGGATGGAGATCCAGACATGAGCCATCTCCAGTCCAGAGATACCCATCAGGATGAAGGTGGAGGGGTTGTTGAGTCTGGTTGTGTTGGATTTTGACATAGAGTAGGTGTCCAACTCCAATGGAGAATGTTGTCTCTTATAGGTACTGTATATTCCCTCAACTTCCTGTATGTGCCCAGAGTCTATGGTGATGGCCTCTGTTCAAGTGCCTGGAAGGAGACACAAAGTGAATATGAGACATGACATGCGCTATTGAAGGCTTTTCTGATGGGTGAAGAAGATTGTTCACTCTTCACGCATAGCAAAATTATATTTCTGGTTTTCAGAGAAATAAATTATGAACAACTGACCCCCACTAATGCCAATTCTATAAAAAGGTTCTCCATAAGTCAATTGTTCCAACACACTGCTGTGTAGGAAACATTCATTGGCACCACCAGGAAACCGGAATGTGGATATTGGTTATTGGTCATTGTTTCTTATTGAAATGGAATACAGGATAGAGAATCCACGCAATAGGGAGTTCTCCAGTTACCTGGTTTTTCAAACTGCGAGTGGAAAATAACCAAACCTTTGTCAAGATGTGTAGTAGGGGAGCCATCCCAACTAGAACGCACCTTGGGGAAAGAACTGGCCATCGGTGGCCAAAACACCTAGGAACATAGGGCCATAAGAATGGCCATACTGGATCAGATCAAAGATCCATCTAGCCCAGTATCCTATCTCCCAACAGTGGCCAACGACAGATGTCCCAGAGGGAGGGAACACAACAGGTAATCCTTACATGATCCTTCTCCTGTCATCCATTTCCAGCCTCTGACAAACCCACTAGGGACACCATTCCTACCCATCCTGGCTAATAGCCATTGATGGACATAACTCTGAATTTATCTAGCTTTTTTTTGAACAGTGGTCTTCACAACATCCTGTGGCAACACGGACAATGTTGAGATGCCTATGGAATGGGATGGAGAATAACTTGCTCTTGACCCGCCCTTAGTTTTGGTCACCCAGTCTCTATAAAAGATGAAGCAGATAGAAAGGGTGTTTTCCTATGAGAATAGGGGAGACTACTCTGTGCAGACAGACTGAAAATTCTGGACCTGTTAACTTTGAGAAGAGACAAACAACAGTGCATATGATAGAGGAGAGCAAAATATAGAATGGCACTCATTCAATAGAATGGCACTCATTCAATTCCAGTGAAGAAAGAGAGAACACTTCTGAACCGGTGATATCTGTAGAAAGTTGACTTAAGGCCTAGTCTACACTCCTGCAGAAAATCAACTTAAGGCACATTAAGGCACGTTCTAGCAACATTACTTACGTAGCTGGAGTCAACGTATCTTAAATTATGTTTCCATGCTGTCCACACAGCGGGAGGCTGACAGGAGCAAACACTCCCCTTAGCTTCTCTTTCTCCTTGTGAGGAGAAGTACCGATGCTGATGGGGGTAGTCTCTAAGTTTGATTTAGGGTGTCTTTCCTCAACCTGCTAAATCAAACCCTGGAAGATCAACTGCAGCAGAGTCGATCTTCCGCATAGTGTAGACCTAGTGTTAATACTTAAAAAGAGCTAATTCCCCAAAGCTGAAGCAAATTAGAAAAACAGATTTGGAGGAAAATTTAGACAGAAAAATGGGACCCTTTAGAGGAGTCCACAAGAGAGCTGAAAAGCCATGATTCCATGGTAGAAAAAAATTTGATCAGTCAGGCAAGAAACCCAATTTATTGGGAAAGGGAAGGCCACAACTGGGAGGGCGGGCACAGGAAAGCAATATATAACAACTGGGACAAAGGAAAAATAGATAGCAAGGTAAACTAACTAGATATTATTAACACTGATAAGAGATGTCAAAGAGATCAGGGAAAAAACAATGATTGGCAAAGTTAATAGTCACCTTTCTGTGATATATATAAGTATATTAAGAACAAAAGAAACCACAGAAAAGGTTTACACCAGTTATGAGTGGGAGAAAGGGAATTGGTTAGTGGTGTTAAAAATGTAGATGTGTTCAAGAAATAGTTTTGTTCTGTATTTGGGAAGAAGTGTGAGGTACTCATAGACCTGGAAGAGACCTCAGAAGGTCATCAAGACCAGCCCCCTGCTCTAGGCAGGACCAAGCCCAACTAAAATTGTATTACTCATATGACATGAGGTGATGAAATATTTTCCAGTGCATGAGTGGTCAAGGAGGATGTTAAAGAGTATGCACAACAAAACCTTAGTATTATGAACACCAGAGTTATAAACTGACCAATCAACCACCCATCTCTTTCAAAACCAAAAGTACATAATCAGCCTTAAAAAAGCAAACACAGAGCAATTCTACATTAAACATTAAGTATTAATGGTTGGTCTAGACAGTATTTGGTCCTGTCATGAGGGCAGGGGACTGGACTCAATGACCTCTCGAGGTCCCTTCCAGTCCTAGTATTCTATGATTCTATTAAAAAATGGAAGTTGATAAACCGTCCACTATTTATCAAATAATGGGAAAAAACAGTGTGTGATTAGTGTAAAATAAAAGTCTCGGATTATCGCTCATGCCAATCAACCACAGGGCTTATGGAAAACAGATTTTATAAAATAAATAGAATTTCATCTATTATGGAGACTATATTTGGTTGACCAAGGGAACTGCACAGATGCATGAACTTCAATTTCTCTGAGGCGTTTTATCTAGTGTTGGAAAATATACCAATGAAATTTTTGGAGGTAACAGCTAGGAGATGAGATGTCTTTCCTATTTTGGAAAATTCTTGTAATTGTCATATTTAAAAGCCCCACCTCTTCAAAGAATCATAGAACACTAGAAGTGGAAGGGACCATGAGAGGTTATCACCTCCACTCCCCTGTCTTCATGGAAGGACCCAGTACGGTCTAGATGATACCTGACAGATGTCTGTCCAACCTGCTCTTAAATATCTCCAGAGATGGAGATTTCACAAACTCCCTAAGTAATTTACTCCAGTGTTTAACCACCCTGACAGGAAGTTTTTCCTAATGTCCAACCTAAACCTCCCTTGCTGCAATTTAAGCCCATTGCTTCATTTCCTCCAAGCTTCACTGCACATGGAAGGGCTGTTAACACCCCACGCTCAACCAGTAGAGCCCTCAAATTCAAGAGGAGGAGGGCACAGACACAGAGCTGGCTCCTCAGATCTTTACTCAGTTCTTACATCCAGGGGAGCTTTGCCTCAGCGGGTCCTAAAGAAAATATGGGCGATAGCCTGAGAACGTGGTTTTGTATTGCTCATCTACTAACACTTGTAGACGGCTGAAATAGCTTTGATCTGGAAGCTATCGGCGGGTTGAGGGACCTTTCCATTCATGATACTGAAGCAAACTCATGGGAAGTAGAAAAGGGCCTTGGGGTATTTAATAAGTGTACAGTACAGAAAGAAAAATAGACATATTTTCCATCCCCCTACCTGGGTTTGCAGAGCAGGTGAGTTACTCAGCATGAGATGGGTACCTGTGAATTCTGAGATGCAAATGTCTTCCCTGAAAATCCTCCCAGTTAGCCAGGTCTCTCTCACTCCAGCATCTGCAGCAGCATCCCACGCCAAGAGCTGACATAAGGGTGTGCATCACTTTTAATATAACTCTGTGCAATCCCAGTGGGGTTTGCTCAGTGTGTAGGGTAGAAGCAGCCTTTGGGTGTAATGAAGGCTGGAGACCAGCCTGATGGTGCTAATGTGTAATTGATCCAGCTTTTGGAGTAAACTGCAATTAAGAGACCTTCCCAAAGGGAGATGAGAACTTGTAGGCTCTGTGCGAAGGCAAGAAATAATTGGTTACTCTGTGTATAGTTAATTAATAAGTAAACAAGGGATAATGCTTTGATCTCCACAAGTCTGATTCCCTGTAAATGCCCAGGGTGGCTGAGTAGATTGCAGACAGACAGATCTGGAGAAAGATGGATGAGGTGGCAGCAGAACACTGCCTGCTGTTTCGGGGGGATGTTGCTGTGAAAATAGAGATCAGACATTCTCATCAGTCACGCTCATTATAGTGGGGTACCTCTTATCCATCTCTTGAAAAGACCAAGTCTTTTTAATCTTTCCTCTGCTGGAAGCTGTCTCATGCCCCAATCCTGTTTGTGGCCCTTCCTTGTACCATTTCTAATATATCTTTTGTTTGTGATGGGCAAACCCGACGGCTCGCAGAGTTCACGCCATGGGATTTCTAGAGCAGCATTGTTGCATTTTCTGTTTTCGCATTTATCCCGTTCCTAATGGGCCCCCACATTCTGTCCAGGTTTTCTGTCACTGCTGCTGCACGCTGAGTTGATCTTTGCAGAGAACGAGCCAGGATGATCCCAAGATCCCTTGCTTGAGTGACAACAGCTGATTTGGACACATCATTTGGGCTACGTCTACATTGGCACCCCTTTCGGAAAATAAGATATCCATCTTAAAATGAGGGATAAGGGATCTTTCAGAAAAGGCTTTATTTTTTGAAAGATCCGTGTCTAGACTGGAGCTTTTTTTCGGCAAAGCTCAGAGCTGGAAAAAAGTGGCAGCCATTTTTATGCTAATGAAGCGGGGAGATTTAAATCCCTGCTTCATTTGCAATTGCGATACATCTAATTTGCATCCCTTTTACGAAAAAGGGATGCAGTCTAGAAAGAGCCAATGACTCCTTGCCTCAGGAGGACACACCTGGTGACCCATTGGCTCCTTGCTTCAAAAGGACATGGTAATCATGTGATCAACTCCATTTTGGGAGCTACCATCACTCAGGAGCACAATGAATTTCCCTCCTCATGGGCAAGATTATCCTTGTCTTCCCCTCCTGCCCTCCACATCGTTGCTAAGGACAGAGATCCAGTAGCACCATTGCTAAGGATAGAGGAAGCAGAAGGAACTGGAAGGAATCGTTGACCCCCATCCTAGCACAGGCTGTGCACCAGAGACTTTTCAGCCAGCACCGTGTTCCATCTCTGCTAAGAGACTGCACCAGGGACTTGGTGATTGATGTGTGTCATATGCTTTCTTTAACAAACCTACTCTCAACCTTCTTTTTATTAAGAAACCTGTAGATTTTTTTATGTTAAAGGACTAGCCCAGAGTAAGATGTGGGGTATATAGTGACCTGGGGTTGTGGCTGGTCCTTTGGGACTGGGAGAACCTGTTTGGAGGTGGCGAGATTGGTTTTCGGAACCTCTCACCTGTGTAAGAAGCAGTGCTGGCTGTGACACAGGTAAAGCTGGAGTGTTGGAGGGGATTGCTTACAAGACTTTTTGCTGTCCAGAGTAGCAGCTGGAGGGATCTGTGTGGCTGGTTTGGTGCCTTAGGGTATGTCTAGACTACGTAGCTCCGTCAACAGAGCCATGTAAGCTTGTTTACCCGACAGTCAAGGAAGCAATGAACCTACTTAAATAATCCCTGCTTCATTAAAATAAAAATGTCTGCCACGCTGTGCCGACAATCAGCTGATCCGGCACAGTGCAACAGTCTAGATGTGGATCAGTCAAAAAGGGAAGCCTTTGTCGACCGCTCCTGTAAACCTCATTTCACGAGTATAAGGGAGCAGTTGACAAAGGCTTCCCTTTTTGACTGATCCACGTCTAGACTGTTGCACTGTGCCGGATCAGCTGATTGTCGGCACAGCGAGGCGTCCATGTTTATTTTAATGAAGCGGGGATTATTTAAATCCCCGCTTCATTGACTATGTCGGGTAAATTAGTTTACATGGCTCTGTCAACGGAGCCGTGTAGTCTAGACATACCTACATAGAGGAGGACCCCAGTCTTGGGTTGTAAGTAGCCCTGGTTCTGAGCAGGTGGCCCTCCTCTGACTCTCACAGCAGTGCCCCCAGACCCGCTGTTCTATTGCGGTCACCCACTGCGAAACTTAGCTAAATAACTCCTGTTATCTATGGAGATGACCGAACGCCACTGCAAGGATGTCACGGAATTGCTGCTTCATTTAAGTGGAGTCCAGGCCCAGGCTGTATATGGGATCTAATTTAAAATCAAAGAGGCCAAGGAAGGTATGTGACTGCTTAGCAGGCCCCTGGCTCTGCTGGAAGGCCACCAGAACTCAATGGAAATGAAGGGATCTTGGGGACAGGAGATCGCTGTTCTGCTTGAGAGGAAACCCCACAGCCTGTATAATCCCTAAGCTGTCAGGTGATGTCCCCAAGGGTGTGTCAAGTCACCGGTGGGGATCACTGCCAAAGCACTTCCCCCACCCTGCCTCTTTGTGGGCGCTTTCCTGAAAAAGGGCTGGAGAGCAGACCTCTCCTGGCCAGTGCTGGGAGGGAATCAGGGCAAAGGGAAACCAGAAAAGACAAACCCAATGGCCCCAGTGACATGGAAGAACCAAAGCCTAAGTGGGAAGAAAAAACCCTCCTCCTCGTGCTCAAGGATGTGAACCTGAATTGTCTCAGTCCCTAAGGAGAGACCTGAACGAGAAGCCACAGGAAATTGCCCCTGCTCTGCTATCCCTCCTATCTACCTGTTGTCATGGTGCTTTGTGAAGTCATCGCCTTTCAACCTTCTTTGACAAAAACTGAGGTGCTGCCAAAGGCCCTTGTGATGTCACTGCCATGCCCATCCCTGCTCGGTGGGGCTAACATCCAGCTGCTTTGAATGTTTGAGCTGTCGCTCGCTCACTGTTCATTGTACAGGTCAAGCAGGCTACCCATGAGAACACCAGAGGCAGCTCCAATGGCCCATGCTCAGCTTGCCATAGATTTATAGACTTTAAGGTCAGAAGAGATCTTTTGGCCATACAATCTGTATGACACCCCCTACCTATCATATTCCTGTTGTGGGGCACAGTGGTGAGCTCTGGA